AATAGTAAATAGACCAAGCGCCGTACTGAAAATTACCAATACTAGCTGTTACCCACAGGCTTCACCCCGTTTGACTTGATAAGTATTAATAAACTATTGATTGGTTAAGTTAAGGTGAAATAAACACAACAGAATAAAGTAATACAAACAAATAATCACACAGATTTTAATAAGGAAATAAATTGAAATAATAACATACAAATAAGTACAGCTGAGGTATTTTTAACATTAGGTATATAGAAAGTTCCCTTTAGAAAGGAATTACGACTTTAAAGGTCAATTTATGAAATAATGGATAGTTTTGCGCAAGGTTTCTCATTATGACAAACCTTTTAAGTATATGTTTTATTGGGGTGTGACTTGTAGTTTTCTCAAACATTCATGGGTACTTTGGGATTTATATATGACTAGCTGTACCTGCGGGATTGCCCCGTTCAACTTCACAAGTGAGCTCTTTCGCATGGCTCAATCACGTCCTGGTTGAAGTTTGTTCGCTACGCTTACTCACCTTTAGGTTGGGGCTCGTTCGCTCCGCTCACTTGTCTTCAGGTTAGCTAGTTCGCTAGCTAACTCGCTTTCAGGTTGAAGTTTGTTCGCTACGCTCACTCACCTTTTGGTTGCAAATTGGCTGTAGTCATAAATAAAAGAAATGATAGTGCTGCAACCTGTTGGTAATCCTTGTAACTTTAATGCTATTGAACATCATAGAACAGAATCAACTTGTTTAATTGAAACAGCTGTTAAGAAATTCCTTTTAAATATGAAAAATCATAAGGTTAACATGGGAAACTCCAGAGCCACTGGGGCGGAGCCAGAAAGCCCGATCAGAATAAAAACTACTTAGTTTTTTACTATTTTACGCAACATGGACAGCACCTAAACAGAAGAGGAAAAAATAAAGTAGCTGAGATGATTGCAAAGTTATTACTTAATGATTACAAAAGAAACAGTCCTAGACGCCAGATCATTGCACCAAAGACGGACATAGTTCCAAGTAATGGTGAGATTCGGGTTGTCGATGCTGACATGGGAAATTTAATAGAAAAGTATAAAGATAACCGGTCAATAGCTTTTTCCCACACAATATCTAACGACTTTGAAAACAATCGCCACATGTCTGCGGGAGTGGCCGTGGTTTTCAGGAGAAAGTTTGGACGGCCGCAACGAAGTGACTGCATCAAAGAAAGACTGGCTTGCCAAAAAAACAGTAATGGGGCCACAGTGTATAGCCTGATTACCAAGGCTGAATATTCGGGGAAACCAGATAGAAAAGATTACGATGAAGGTTTCAATCAATTAAAAGAAGATTTTTTGAAGAAAGAACTTAAAACTCTCATCTGCGTTTCACCAATGGGATGCATAAGAGACCTCATCTTGCCAGAACACTTTGCCAAAAGGATTGTGGACTTCCATCGTGCTACTGGTGCTACTATCTGCATCGTAACCTCTGATCAACCTACAGCAAAGAGAGTTCTGAGGCGTGGGCCTTCCCAAGAGGAGTTTGTAACAAAGTTGATAAAGCTGATCACCACCGAAGAATTTTCAACCCCTCCACAGACAGACATCACAACCGAACTATCTCCAGACATCACCCAACCAGATGAGTCTCCTGTTATCGTTTCAGCAGATGAGCCCTTTGTCACCATTTCACCAGATGAGTCTCCTTTAAACTCTCAAATAAATTACGAATCAGACCCAAGATAAATAAAATTAGTTCAAATATCAGATTGTTTCATCAGAATATCCAAAATTTATCTACTCGTATTGAACAACTAGAAGTTATTTTAACAAATTAGATCCACACATAATCATTTTAAGCGAACATAAAATGAATGGAACTGAATTAGAACGTTTTAATCTAGAAAATTACTCTCTTGTCACACAATACTCCCGCAGCACAACAACCGGTGGGGGTACTGCAATCTTATGCAAAGAGAGTTTGAAGGGGAAACAGCTGGTTTCTGATGAAATCGAAGTGCTATGTCGGGATAAACTGTTTGAATGTTGCTGTTGTACTTTTAAGTCGGGCAGCATCGGCTTCACATTGGTGGGAATATATAGAACACCACAATTACATAATTCAGAGTTTTTAATTCGTTTGAATTCTCTTATTGAAATTCTGTTACATAAAAATAAATGTTTAATCATAATGGGAGATTTTAACATAAATATGCTTGTTGTATCACCTGAATCAAAGGAGTTAAAGAATATTCTTACACGACATGGTATGGATTATTTGATAGATTTTCCAACTCGAGTCACAGATACCTCTAAAACCTGTATTGATAATGTTTTAACAAATTTTCATAAAGAAACCGTAAAAGTAGAGGGTGTAATAACTGCTTTATCCGATCACGATGGGCAAATTATAGAACTATTATTATTACCTAACAGAATAAATCCTCCAAGCATTCACTTTCGGGGAAGAAGTTTTTCTTTTGATAATATGATATTATTTAAATCACTCTTGGCGAATGAAAACTGGATATCACTCTATAACTCGCGAATCGAAGACAAATATAAAACCTTCCATAATATATTTCACTACTATTTTGATTTATCATTTCCGGTTATTCAGAAAAAAATCACAAAAAATACAAACAATTGGATTACACATGAATTAAAAGAAGAAAAAAATAATCTTATTGAACTTAATAAAGTGGCAAGATCTTCTGGCTCAGAAATACTAAAAGCTGAATTTAAGGAAAAAAATCGACAATATAAATTCAATCTATTAAAGTTAAAAAGGGACTATTATGACAATAAAATTAAAAACTCTGAAAATGTAAGTAAAGCCTCATGGGAAATCATAAATAAAGAAACACAAAAAAATACAAACAAAGAGAATAAAAATTATTATACTTTAAGGTCAGATAATGGTGAAATTACAAATCCCAGGGAAGTAGTCAATAGTTTTAACAATTATTTTGTAACTATAATAGATGATATGTTAAAAGACATGACACCGGCACAGGATGGTTGTCATGATAATGATAATGGTTTTGATAATCATATTCCAAATTTTAGATGTCCGCCAATGGAAGAAAAAGAGCTAATTGCCATTTTTGATTCACTAAAAAATAAGTGGTCTAGTGGCTATGATGGGGTACCAGTTAAAGTAATAAAATTTGTTAGGGATCCACTCATCAAGCCATTAGTTCATTTAGTCAACGCTTCGTTCATTTCAGGAATTTTTCCAGAGCAACTCAAAATTTCAAAAGTGGTACCAGTCTTGAAAAAGGGAGATGACACAGAAATTCAAAATTATCGTCCTATTTCTATTTTACCTTCGATATCAAAAATTTTTGAAAAAGCCATGTATTTAAGATTGGTAAAACATTTGAACGATAATAATCTCTTTTGCCCAGAACAACATGGTTTTAGACAGGACAAATCTGTCAATACCGCTCTAATTACTTTCATTGAGTCAGTAATTGAATCAATGGATGAGAAAAACATAGTAACTGGAATTTTTATGGATTTATCTAAAGCCTTTGACAGCATATCCCATACCAAAATTGTTGAAAAATTAAGTAGTATAGGCGTCAAAAACTCATATTTAAATTGGTTTGAAAGTTACCTTCAAAATAGGAGTCAATATGTAGAAATATCAAAAACAGAAGGAAATCAAGTGATAAAATATCAATCAATTTTGCAACCAATCAAACACGGGACGGGGTACCACAAGGGTCAATACTTGGACCTTTATTATTTATTAGTTACATCAGGGATATGCCAAACTATCTAAGTAAACTTAAGGACATAAAAAATCAACTCATACTATATGCAGACGACTCTAATCTTATTATGTCCGCAAAGACTGACTTGGAAATGGAAATCAATTCATTCATAGAATTAGGTAAACTTCAGGATTTTTTTTCATCCAATAATCTAATATTAAACTCGCAGAAGACTAACTACATTCATTTCACTACAAAACAAAACCGAAACAAGAATGATTTTAACATTTTTATTGATAATAATATAATAGAAAGGGTAGATAAATCAAAATTTTTGGGAGTTTATATCGATAACCATCTTAGTTGGGACCTGCATATAGACCATCTTTTAGCAAAAATAAACTCAGGAATTTATGCCTTAAAACGATTGTATTATCTTTGTAATTCAAAAGTTCTAAAAAATGTTTTTCATGCCCACGTGCAATCCCATATATCTTATGGAGTTTGTGTCTATGGAGGTACAACCAAACAAAACCTTTGTGAAATTTTAATTAGTCAAAAAAGAGCTATAAGAGCCATGTTAAATCTCGAGTTTGATGAATCTGTAAGGGAGCATTTTACTAAACAAAATATATTAACCGTCTATAGTTTGTATATCCTTGAGTGTATTATGCATGTCAGGAAAAATAAAGCCAATTTTACAACACATGAAGACATACATAAATACAATACCAGAAATAAAAAAAACATAGTCTTACCTTTTCACAATTCTGAGCTATATAAAAAGAAACCATCCTATGCCGGTTCTGTATTCTTAAAACATATCCCAAAAGAAATATTGAACATAGAAAATCAAAACAAGTTCAAAAGCGAACTCAAAAGTTTTTTAATCAGAAATGCTTTTTACTCTCTTGAAGAGTTGTACAATTTAATCAGTGTGAATGCTGATGCTGTATGACTGAATAATTCAATGCAATGTTAGATTAAGGAACTGTGACACTATTTATTGTATTACTGTACATAAAACAAATAAAGAAGTTTTTGAATTTGAATTTGAATTTTCCTATTTAATGCCCAAAGAATCGGTGTACCGAATTTCAGCCTCCTAGGTAAATGGGAAGTGGGAGAATTATTGATGAGTGAGTGAGTGAGTGAGTCAGTCAGTGAGGGCTTTGCCTTTTATATATTTAGAAGATGGCTTTGGACAGTCTTAAAAATGCTTTTGATGTAAAAAGTGAAAAATTGTTAAAAACTGTGTGTGTCTTTGCTGTCTACTCAATATCATGTAAGTTACAACCTGTACTCGTATTGTGTTTATAGGGGTGAACACCTCGGGCAGCCATGTTGATCAAGGAGTACCACATCCCTCTGCCCCTCACCGTAGATGAGTACCGCATCGCCCAGCTGTACATGATAGCGGTGAGTTACCAACCAATTGTACAGTAGTAAAATATGTTAAAAGTTTTGAGTTAGATATACAGTACCAATGTGGTTGAGCTCCACTCACAGCCAAATAAGCTAGTTTAAATCCAACTCTAACTGTGATCGTTACCTCCCTGACTAGGGATGTTGCGATACCACTGTCTTTCCAATATTTGGTATCGATACCGTATCGCAAAAAAGTATCGATACCTACTCAGTATCGGAACCAAAGTATCGATACCATCAGTATCGTATCCATTCGATACCGGTGACGTCATATTCTGATTGTCTGACCTTCGATTAAAGTTCACTCGCTCCAGTACAGTACAGCCAATATAAAATTTTTATTTGAGCTGCTAAGACCTACTTAATTATGTAAAAAATTGATAAAATTAAAATTAACCAAACATAGCCAACCTTTGTTTTCAATGTTACCTTAAAGTAAAAGTTCAAGGACTTGTTGTTCTAAGCCTATATCATTTATCTTTAAAATAAACCCAATTTTATTACATTACCAACGCATACACACATATTTGTGTTTACCATCAGCCTAAATTGACAAAAAATTTTTTGAAATAACTTTAAGTGCCATCTTTTTAATTCATTTGATGTTTAATAGTCCATATGGTTTCATTTTATTTGCCTAACACTACTTTGCTAACATTGATGTGTAATAAAAATAACTCTGCAACCAAACCCTTAAGTTTTACCATTGAAGTAAAACCATTGACTGTAGGTATATAGTCAATGGTTTTACTCATAGTTCTATAAATGAATAGTGATCATAATTTACACAAAACACATATCAGACAAGCTAAAAAAAAAAATTATTTAATTGGGTTAAAGTCTGTTTCTTTTTTGGGTCACTGTTGCTCCAGCCTTGTAAAACAACCACTCAGAAGGCACGAGCGTAGCCATTTTACTCAGATTTGTCAGAAATTACCTTCCGATACTTACGATACGATACTGGCCTCTTGGTATCGATACCAAGTAAATATCGGAACAACCGATACCGATACGATACCAGCAGTATCGCAATAAAAGTATCGATACCTACTGGTATCGATAGTATCGCAACATCCCTATCCCTGACTACTCTACTACTACAGTACTACACCAGCCCTTTTCCCTTGTGATAATTTATGGCAATGTAAGGGAAATTGAAGCTCCTACCACATAAAAATTACTTTCTGTGAATAGGATATAAACTAGTTGGAATAATAGTCAGAAAAGTAGAGAACATGACACTGGGCTCAGTTTTGAACCCACATATAATAAAATTCCAATAATAAAACCTAGAGGTAGTTTCCGTTTCTTTACGTTTCTTAAACACACCAAAAATATGCAGGTTTCGATAACTGGGTATATAATGTAACTCTAACCAGTCGCAAGAGTTATGAATCAGCCAATGATTAGGCCTATTTTGATAGAATATGTAAAGTCAATTAGACCTTTAAGAGGATCAGAAAAAAATCTAGGGTTAAGTTCAGTCAATGGAATACCTTTACTTTACGCTAATTGTGTTAAGCCTTAACAAAAGGAGTATAAGATTAAAAATATAAACTGGGTAGGGATGCCAATTTAGCGGTTTTGACCAAGAACTAAGCTTATCTCAACACACCTTTATTTGTCTTTTCATATTTGACGAAGACAATTTCCAAAATTCCAACCAGGGAAGCCTTTTTTACCACCATTAACCACAAGACCAATGCTACCTTAATAAACCAGTATTTATTCACAAACAATTATATGTTTGCTGATTTAAGCAGAATTACACCTATGGAGTGATTCAAATTATTTATTGAAAATAACATCAACAAAAGCACACAAAGACAATCAACAAACTGTTTTTTACACAAAAGATGTGGTGTACACCACACCTTACTATTAAAATAAATAAATTGGCCAAGTTTGATCCAAATATATCAATAAACTAGCAAACTACGTCATTTTACAATATTCTCCATAAGAATAACATGGGAATTTTAAATTTAGAATTTTTTGAATTTTCTCCTTTACCAATAACTGTACAAAAACACTTTGATATACTAAATTATTTGTTTTTCTACGCTCTTTAAAAATGTCTAGAGAGAAATTGGTAAATTTTGTGTTTTGAGGGTCTAAAATGTGAAAAACCAATTTTTACCCCATAAAAGCCCTCGTAAAATCCCGTTCCCATGGTCTGATCATGCTGGTTCGCGAACTCATTCAAGTTTATCCCGCCTTACACCTTCAAACCAAATTTCATCAAAATCTGTTTTTGGCCTCTGGGGACATCAAAATGAAAGAAGTAAATCACGGGCCTAGGTCTTACCGTGCCACTTACGGTAATAGCTACTTCTCTATAGGGAAATTCGCTAAAAAGTATGATAAGAAATCAACAACATATACATACCAGTTCATTTTACTTGTTTCTTAGTTCATTGTATTTACATTAATTTACACGCTAGCCTAATCATTGAGTAAATATACTGACAAATATTTAATTAATTTTAGAAGCAAAAGTGAATTGTGTATAGCTTAGTTTTGTGATATTCTCCATAGTAAAATTAAAGCAGTGTTGTAGAAAAGACAACAACACCTTTTTTCTAAATGTGAAAAAAACTACGGTAATGTGAAGTGCATGTTATGAGAAATTAAGCATTTAAGCATCAGGACACTCAATCGAAACCACTCATGAAATGCAGTTCAAAAAGGCTTTAGATTTTACTATAGCATACAAAGAGTAGACTTCAAGTATTTTTAGTAAATTAAGTCTAAGTAAATAATAGAACAAATATAAGTAGTATAAACCTGGACAAAAGAATGGCAGTATAAGTGATGTTTAGTTTGTAAATTGAATACAAACAAATAATAGTGGAAATAGTCACCTAAATGTTTAAAATTATAAAGCTTTCATTTAGTTTTGAAAACAACCATCTAGTTAAAATTTTAATCCAAACATGACATGGCATGTGATAAAATCAGTTCAAATTTGTTAACAAATAGCTCCCGGTACAAAAAAATTTTTATATTGTAATGATCCTTCTGTTTCCATGAAAATATAACAATAACACTACTGTAAGTTACAGTATTATCATAATCAACTTAAGAATCTTGGGAGCAGAATCTGTACCTCTTAAACTCTGCTCTTTGAACTGTAAAATTAAAGTACTTATAGCTGACTTCAATTGATATATTTGTTTATTCATATTCTCCCAAAAGCTCCATAAGCTTAATATACAAACTTTACAGGCCAGTGTGGCTTTGTCCAATAATTCAAAACTGAATATGCCTATATGGTAATCAAGACAAAGACGAATCCAACGAATCAAAAATCATTAAAATCGGTCTAGCCGTTCTTGAGTTATAAAGTGGTGTAACTAACACAACTTTGTTTTACATATATATAGATAAAAAAAATAATGCTTTTATTCCCCTATTCAATGGCACAGCTGTGTGGCTTGTTTCATTACCTTGGATCATTAATTGACACGAGTGAGCGACCTCACTAATTGTCTGTGAATGATTATCATCACTTCCCTCTCTACAGACGCCACTATATTCATCACACATATACATGTACCAACAGTGATTATGAAACACGTATAATTGTTCTGTATCTTTCTCCTTCTTTCAATTCCGACTGCAGATGCCCCATACTTGTCAATATTATAAATCACACAGTTCTTTTCATTTTTTTATTAATAAATCAAAAATTTTCATCTTAGCAATTGACTACAGCAACACAAAATTACCACCCAAGATTTATAAAGAGCTAATGTTTTATTCAACTGTATATTTTATAGGAGTATTAGTTTTTCACGATTTTTGGATTTACAGTCAATATAGTTTAATTAATATAACTTTGATATAACCTTAACAGAACAAAGAACTTCAAAACTAGTTTTTAACCACATTGAATCACACAGATGTAACCATATTAAGCTCAACAATTTGGATTTTTTGTTGAAATTAGTTAGTTTTCTCATTTTTTTGTTTTTTAGCGAATTTCTCTATAGGGAAGTAGCTATTACCGTAGGTCTCATGGTAAGACTTAGGCCCGGGACCGATTTACTTTTTCATTTTGATGTCCCCAGAGGCCAAAAACACCATTCGTTCAAATTTTTATATATGTATATATACCTATATATATATATATAGATTTATATATATATGTGTCCGTGAACACGATAACTTGAGTAATTTTTATCCGATTTTGATGAAATTTGGTTTGAAGGTGTAAGGCGGGATAAACTTGAATGAGTTCGCGATCCAGCATGACCATAGGAACAGGTTTTTATGGGGTAAAAATTGGTTTTTCTCACTTTTGACCCTCAAAACACAAAATTTCCCAATTTTTCTCTAAACCTTCTTAAAGAGCTTAAAAAAACAAACAATTCAGTAAATCAAAGTGTTTTTGTACGATTATTGGTTACGGAGAAAACTAAAAAAATTGTAAATTTAAACTACCCATGTTATTCTTATGGAGAATATTGTAAAATGTTGTAGTTTGCTTGTTTATGGATATCTTTTGATCAAACTTGGCAAATATATTCATTTTCGACTAAGCAATAATTATTTTACTTAAAACACACACTCTATTAGTTTTCTTGTAGCAGCAAACCTAGGTACTCGTTAAACCTAATGTTATTTAAATAGATCGATTGAAAATCAATTCAGCCAAATGGAAATTCGCTTAGACGGCAGGTTTGCTGCGGCGGGGGTATTTTAAGGGAGAGGAGGGAAAATGCTTTTACGCACACAGGTAGCCAGCCTGTAGTGAGAGACTCCTGAATCTATCACAGACTACTCACTAAAAAAACCCCTCTACTCTGTAGGACACAGACCTGGAATTGTTTGTCACATTACTTCAAGTCAGGCCAACATGGGACCTAAGCCCTTAGGGCTCTCACCGTTTTTGGCATTTAGATACTTTATGACCTACACCGTATCCCGGTCAAGGTCGAGCTTCTTGGCGCGGAGAATACCCTGGATGTAATGTGACACACAGGTCC